GAAATTTTGTCACAGTGTGAATTGTGGCATTGTACGCCTCTATCGCATGTAATGCTACCGTTGTCCACGCCTTGTCGGAATGTTCACACATCATACAACGTAATTTTTTAATCAACGTTTGATTCACCCGCTCTACCATCCCATTAGACTGTGGGTGGTCTACAGGTGTAAATAAAATTTCAATATTTTCGCCTTTAAGATACTGTTTAAATTCTTTCGAATTTATTGCCGAAAATCGGTCAGCCACCACCAGACCCGGGCAACCATCCTCTTTTATTTTCTTAATTAATCGGATGAAATCCGACGCACGTTGGGTTCTAGAGCAACAGCCCCACACAAATCGAGAAAAGGAGTCGATAGCTAAATGTAGATACCTCTTAGGAGAACGTCCTGTTAAACCGCCAACGGTATCAATGAAAATGATTTCAAAAGGACCCAAAGCTGGCCCTATTCGACCCAAAGTGCCATACTTCGACCCTTGCTTTGCTCTTAAACACACCTCACAAGATTTTATTACTTCATCAATTAGTTGGTTTAGATTTTCAGTGAAGTATTTGATTGAAAAATGTTCTGACATTTGGCAATGTCCTAAATGTCCATAAGAATTGTGTATTTTCCATAACAGCGGTATGGCAGATTCATTTGGAATATATAGTCGATCTCTGTCTTTACGATTTTTTACTATCATTCCATTATACATAGTGCAACCCTTTGGTAAATAGTCAATGAAAGGTCTCTGAATTTCAACAATTTCATCTAAGGTAAAATGTGACAATTCCACAGGTGGATTGCGAGACAAGTGATCAGCCTCTACATTATCCTCACCAGGAATATAAACAATATCAAAGTTGAATTGGCTCAATTTTAATGCCCAATTAAACAATCGGGTCTTAGTGTGACTAGTCTTCATCAGCCACTCTAATGGCTTATGGTCAGTTTCAACAGTGAATTTTCTGCCCATTAAGTAGTAACTCCAATATTCAATGGCCTCAACTATGGCCAGACATTCACGTTCAGTTACGATATACTTTTGCTGGTATGGCAACAACTTTTTTGAAAAGTAAGCGATGGTCACAAGATCAGCATCATCATTCTTCTGTTTCATCACCGCCCCTATCCCTATTTCGGAAGCATCCGTTTTGATAAGAATATGACGGTTCGGATCGAAAATTCCCAAAGCGGGATGTGACATCAGAATGGACTTAATCAGGTCAAAGGATTTTTGTTCTTTTTCGGTCCAATTGAATCTTACATTTTTTTTTGTTAACTCATACAATGGGGCCAGTACTTCTGTTCTATTAGGAATGAATTTTTTATAATAATTTACCTTTCCCACAAAACTCCTAACCGATTTTACATCATGAGGTGCGGGTAAATCATTGATTGCCTGAGTCTTGGAGTGAATCGGTTCGACCTTATTGAACGAAATTTGATAACCCAGGTACGAAATTTTGTGTTTCAAGAACTCACATTTAGAACGTTTCAAAATTATGTTTTCTTTGTCTAACATTTCAAACACTCGTTCTAAATGCTCTAAATGATCTGATATTGAATTAGAGAAAATGATAATATCATCTATGTAATTATGGGTGAATCTCGTCAGCTCGTAATCCCATAGTAAATTATGGATTACACGTTGGAAAATCAGTGGCGCATTTTTAAGCCCGAACGGCATCACCATCCACTCATATTTCCCATTCATGGTGACGAACGCCGTCTTTTGAACGTCATTCTTTGTAATAGCCACATGATGAAACCCAGACGATACGTCCAGAGTAGTAAACACACTAGCGCCAATCAATCGATCTTCAATATCATCTATCATAGGCATCGGAAAAGATTCATCAATTGTGATTTTGTTTAAAGCCCTATAGTCCACACACAACCTAGACTTCTCCCCGTCATCTTTTTTATCCACAAGTACCACCGGAAAGCCCCACGGAGAACGAGACTTACGAATCATTTTTCTTTCACAATATTCAAGAATTAATTTATCAATTTTCTCTTGATCCTGGGCAGTGGTTCGATAAGGCTTCAAATGGATTGGTCGTTGAGTCGTCGTGTTTATAAAGCATTCTTCTAACCGGATTCTACCTACTTCTCCTTTGAATGTCGCAAATAAAGAATCATACTTATTCAAAAGTATTTCTAAACTACTTGTTTGGTTTGTAGTACGGGGATTCGGATTAATATCACAGTTGCAAATTTCTAGATCAGAGAAAGATTCAGAACGTGAATTTGGCAAAATTTGGCTGATTTTGTACTTCCCCTGTTGCTGTAATTCGAATTTGTTTATGGCATCTAATCCCAAGATAATTTTTGAGCCAGTGGATACGTAGAACTTATGTTCTAATTTTTTTGTCCCAATTTTTGTGATCACAGTAATGAATCCACAGAATTCGTCAATTTGATTATTTGCTAATCTATAGCTCACTCGATTGCTAACATAACTTTTTCCAATGTTTCGACAAACCTCGTCCCCTAACACGCTCACTTGGGCTCCGGTATCATAGATAGCTTCTAGGTCCACTCCCTCTACAATTATTTTAATGGTTAGCGTCGGGAACCGATGGTCTGCTAGTCATTTGGCAGCATCGTTCGCTATTTTCCCAGACATTGAATCATCATTACTTATCATACGAACCTCTGGAATTTTGGTACAAACACTTGGATGATGTCTTTCAACACATTTTTTACAACTTTGTATTGTCGACCTACAGAATTCAGCACGATGATTCATTCTGAAACATAAAAAACACCGCCTCTCACTGTTCAATATACGTTGCTTTTCAGAATTCGGTTTACTTTTGATGAACTAAGTGATTTGATGCATTTTTACAAAATAAGCACCCAGTATTGGCATAGTTGGCTACCCATGAGTTGCCAAATTGGTTATAATTTAAACGATTTTCACCCGGCGTTTTGTAGAGAACACCAGTTTTACTTTTTTCACCTGATGGGTACGTTGGTTCTCTGATTTTGTTACTCGTCGTTCCAACGCTGTTTCTTTTCATCTTCCTTTCCAGTGTGATTAAATAATCTTTCATACAAATTTCATCAGTATGCCCTTCGACCGCAGATCTCAGAATCTTCAACGGTAATTTGCCAGCCACCGCCGACATGAATTCTGTGTCAATAAACGTTGTGTTAGACTCATCTTTTTTCAACATGCTGTACATGGATTTAACAATAGCAACATTATCTCTCATACGATCATAGTCGCTCAAGTATTCAACAGCTGGCAATTCTTTTACCACTTTTAAAGCATTCTCTTTCATTGCTTGTTTGTTTGTATAGTACAACTTCAAATCGTTGAGTGCTGTTTCGTATTGATCTTCATCATAACCGGCTATAAATTTTTCAGCAGAATCTGGTAACAAGCTTTTTAGAGCCATCAATTTGATTGTATTAGAAGCGTTTGTATTGTGTACAAATTCGTTATATTGGCTGAAGAATCTGCCAAAATCATCAACCGTGGCTTTGAATTTCTTTATTTTATCTACATTTTTCCAACTAAATTTCATTTTATCACTTTTCTTATCGCCCTTATTCTTTCGTTTTGATAAGGTCTGAAAGGCCTTCATCAAATCCTCCACGAGTTCACTCTTACAACTTTTCTTGCTTCGTTTTGGACTTGGATCACTTTCATCAGAGCTTGTAGAGCTTGAGTCCGAACTTGACAGTTCCTCTTGCACTCTGTCTCGTTTGCTAGTTTTCTTTTTACCGAGATTATTTTTCCTTTCAACCGACACCCTCTCTCGCCTGGAGTTTTTCCACTCTTCTACTGTATACGGACCATAACATTCATTCCTACTATCATCCGAATCATTTTCATTATCAGTATGTGTAAAATTCCTTTCAAACCGCCGTGTTAAATACGAAGAGCCAGCTTGCACATCATCCCCAGGTTCATAATTAAGGGCTTCTTCGTTTGTCGTTAACCCTTTCTCTCGTGTGTCAAATTCAGGACCAGGTATATCCTGACCCGATTCATATTCACGCGGTATCTCGGTTAGCATTTGTTCCTCATCTTCCACATTTTCAATCACAATCCCATCGTTGGATTCTTGCTCACCACTGTCATTTTGCTTTCGTAACACCAAATCGTTTTCGTTGAATTCACCTATTTCCCCACTCACTTCTGTTAATTTGTCATTCACACGCTTTGTTAACGACCCTAGATGATCAATCAACTTTTTATTTCCTTTTAGCTTTCTGAGCGGTTCTATTTCAATTTGACATAAATTCAATTTAGTTAGGATTATGAATATCTGTGGCAACGTACTTGCTTCTAGCAAGCTATTTTCAATGTTTGCGATTTTTTGTGTTATAGCAATTTTTAAACTATTTGGCGCCATTGTATGGGAAATTGTTTCTTTTTTTTTGTATGTATGTGTATATTATATATGGTTGTTGTGGATATGTGTTTTAAGTGTATGTGTATTTTATGTACGTATGTTGTATGTATGTGTATATTAAATATGGATGTTGTGGATATGTGTTTTAAGTGTATGTGTATTTTATGTACGTATGTTGTATGTATGTGTATATCATGTACAGGAGTTGTGAATATGTGTATGTGTATTTTATATACGTATGTTGTATGTATGTATATATATTGTATACACAGAGCCAAAAGTAAGCAGGGTACCCTGCAAGGTAACCAAAAATGCAAATTTGCAGTTTACCCTGCAATGAAGGGGCCGTTCATATACAATGTAACTTAAACTGCAAATTTGCAGTTTATATGCCCTCCAAATTTGCATTTTTGGTTACCCTGCACTTTACCCTGCAAACTTGCAGCTTATGTAACATTGTATATGAACGCTTTGAATTTTTTGAAACCCTGCAGTTTACCCTCCAAATTTGAATTCATTTTGCCCCCCATTCACTTCATTAATTTTACCCCCATATTAGGATTAAAAAATTTTATTCAAAATTAATATTAAATCAATAAAGCAATGACAATAATTAAAAAAAAAAAATTAAACATGATCCAATTTTTGTCTTGTCCATAGTGATCCATTTATAAATTAACCAATGACCATGAGCATATGTCCGCCAATCCAATCTTTATGATCCAAGACTAGTTGTCGATCTTAAATAAAGAAATTCGTTAGTTATTTCAATCATTTCAATCAAGAATCACATACCATGTAAATAAAAATCTATCGTAATGGGCATTCAGTTTTCCATTTCCAAAATGAATCTAGAAAACGAGTCAAGAAAATAGTTGTTAGTTTGGGTAATCAATTGAACAATTTACATACCATGATCTCTGATTTCTCCAACTTGCTTTGTTCCAGACTCAATTTCCAAAATGTTCACCTAAATGGAAATAAATATTAGTTTTTTCGTTCAATCAATTCATTCATTTGCTTACCATTACCACTTTCAACTATGTGTTTCATTTCGTGAATCTTCGAAAATTAATCATGTTTGTCAATTGTTTCATTGGTTTCAAAACTTCAACTAGCATCAAATCCAATAGGAAAAAGCTCAGATCATGTTCCTAAACCTAGCCTGTCCTATCCTATTCCTAACTTAAATTTGAACATTACCGAGCTTTTCTTGAATCTGATGCCACTGAAGATTGAAACCGCCAAATCAATAACTAACATGATGAAAAATCGAATTTCAGAAACAAATCTAAAAAACAAAACGTTATCAATCAAGTATAATATCCAAACTTACCAAATAGCTATGGATTTTTCTCATGTCAATGAGAAATCAGTAAAACTAGAAATGGAAAGTTACAATTTATGCAAGAGAATGACGATTGAAGACATTTAGCACTAAAATGATTTGGGCCACCACATTTGACACACACTTGTTCATTTCTAAATCATTTTTTCCAAAACAAAGGCATCAATAGCATTGGGTAACTGAGACATAATTTAAAATAGTATAGACATTGTAACTGTTGTAAATATAATTGTTGAATAGAAAATGTTTAATGTAATTATTGATTGTTGGTGGTGTATATAAGTTTGAGTTTAGAATTAAAATAAGTTAAGTCGTTGTTGTTTCATTTATTTACTCCGTTCATAAATTACCCAATTGTGCTGTGTTCAATTATTCAACAGTAACCAATAAAGATTTTTCCATTGCTTATTCACAATTACCACAATTCGGTGTAGCATTGCATGTTTCAATCATTTTAACAAATATAATTTTGAACAATTCCTTTGGATCATAAATTACTTGACGAATTTCATCATTTTGGTTTAAAATCATATCAGGAAGATCTTTTTTGGTAAACATAGGGTGAATGTTTTTCACGAACTTTTGGAACTAAGTCACAATTAGATTTGTTCACCAGTTCATTTAATTTTCGGCAACTTTGTTCATAAGAACATCTGACTTTATGATACAAAGATGTTCAGTTGGAACATTGTATTTTTTAGTTTCAAATAAAGCTTTGGCAAAAGATTTTTTTTTCCATAAAGGCGTAATCATCAATTGATTCTTAGTGTTGAATTGATCCATTGATTAGTTGAATTGATTTGTCAATTCATTTTTGATTTTGTTTTGAAAACTCTTCATGTTGGAAAAATTGTTCTAATTGTTAATAAACTTTTTAAAATGATTTTTGTACTCGGTCATCTCATCGGTAATTTACTGCAACGCAGCTAGTTTCCAAAGATAGATTAGTTGATGTTACTTGAGAGCAATCTTTGTTTAATCGTCGCAAAAAATTATCATCAACGTTACAATAGTTTTTTGCATTCTTGTAATTCATTTTCATAACCAATTGAACAGTTCCTCACCATCGATGCAATAAATATCAGAATTTCATGAAAATGGTGATATGTGTATTACCATGATCATTTGCAAACGATTGTTCAACCAGATAGATCTTTTATTTTTTCTTTTTTGAAGATTAATTGTGATGTAGGTGAATTCTTTTACGAGATAAATCATAACTTTAAAATTACGAATAAAAACTCAAAAAAACAAAAATATCCGATAATATTTGGCAACTAAAAACAACAACAATCATAAAGAATTGTAAAATTACATTGAAAAATGAATGAATCAAAAGATTATTCCCATAATGGGTTGTTTGTTATTCATTTGTGAATATAATATTTCATGATTTAAAATCATTTTTAGAATTTATCAATTAAATTAATTTGATTAAAATGAAATTCAAAATTGGAAGTTAAGCTCCAATTAGAAGATGTATTACCATTCTTTGGTGGAGGTTAATATGCACTTTGCAGTTTAGCCTGCAAAATAACCCGCAACTTTGCAGTTTTGCCTGCAAAAATAACCCGCAAATTTGCATTTGGGCCTGCAAAATAACCTGCAAATTTTGAAACAATGCAGCGCAAACCTCATAAAAGAAGCGTACTTGTGGAGCATGGATTTTGCAAATTTGGAGGGTTAAAGCACTCAATCTTGCAGATTAGATCTTTTCTTTGGTAAAATATGTGTTTTATGTGAATTTGTTTTTTTGTCGATGTTGAAGAAACCACTTACCTTTCCACAATTGAAATAAAATTCCAAAGAACAAATAGATTTGTTGTTAGTTCATTTGATAAAAACCAAATTCCAACAACTTTAAATTGTATAAAAACATCTGAAATTGGTTGATACAAAGATGTTCCCAGATAAGAGGGAAAAGACAGGCGAATGCGATGTAGTTATAGTTTCCAAATAAAGCTTTGATAAGATTTTGATGATTAGATATAATACAATTGATTGTATTAGAATTGTGTTGAATTGAACCATTGATATGATTGAAATTGCTTTGATGATTTGTAAGCCCAATTTGAAAGAAGTAAAAACCAATGAATATTAATTGTTGGAAAAAAGCTGATTGATGAGTCTATATTGTGAATAATAAAATTTGATTGTAAAATGATTATTTGCAAAAACTCGGTATAAATTCATCGGTAATGAACTGCAACGCAGCAGTTTTAAAAAGATAGAAAAAGCCGAAATGTTATTTGAGGAGCAAAAACTGTTTAATCGATGAGCAGAAAAGTGACCAGTTAAACGTGAAATGATGATTTTGAGTGTGTTCTTGTGATTCAAAAACATAACCAATTCGATGACAAAATTATTTTGTATGTAACATGCAATAACAGAAAAAAATTAGTCTCAATGGAATGAACTGTTTATGATGAAAGCAAAAAATTTTTATGATGAATTTGTAAACGATTGTTCAACCAGGTAGGTAGATCTTTTTATCCTTGGTCTTTTGAAGTTCCACGAACAATTGTTGATGTAGAATTCAAATTTATTATCAGTATTTTTATTTTAATTCTTTTCTTTATTCAATCGAAACAATTTTCAAAAATACAAAAAAAAACTATATCAGCCAGGGCTGAAACCTCAAACAAAAACGTTCCTCAGATTCCGTAATTCCTAGAAAATGAATTCAAATCAATTATTATTTTGACCTTAATGGTCTGTTGCTTCATTAAGTGGAAAGTAATATTTACATATATATAGCAACTTATATGATTTAATGATCCGAATCTAAATCTATGATGACAAAGAATAGTGTGTGTGTGTGTGTGTGTGTATGTTGTTCATGGCCATATAAAATTGATGGTTAGAAAAAGCAACAACAACAACAAAAAAAAAATTGATTGTGTAAATGTGTGAACCACAGATTGAATAGAAAGAAGAAGAGAACAACAAAAAAAAATGTCGACAATTGTCAAAACTGTTGAAAATATTCACGAATATTATCATCATCATAAAATTGATATATCGACAATCAATTCAACTGCAAAAAAAACAAACGCATCAATATCGTATAATTCACCACAACTTGTAAATTTTTTTTTTTGAAAAAAATGCTCAATCATTTTTGGATCACCAATAATAATAATAATCATTATTAATGATGAATTCAATTAATACGAAATTCAAATAGAATACAAACTGTTAAGTCAGCTGCTTTGAAAAATCGATTCGATTCAATTGACTGTTACGATATAATTCAAGGGAAGGTGTTTTTTCTTGTCTTTTTCTGTGTATGTATGGATCATCCATTGATGATCAAATCATAATGATTGATGGATAAATAGATTTTTGTTTTTCTTTCAAAATACTGAGATTGTAGTAGTAGTAAACAAGACAAAAAAAATGATCGAATCGAATTGAATTAAATTATCCTCATCATCATCATCATCATCAACAGCGATATGAATCTAACCAACATGTGTGTGTGTATACATGAAAGACATTATCGTTAGCTTTAATCTTTTTCACTTTTTTTTCTGTTCATATTCCAAAAAACTATTGGTTTGGTTGGTGAATATCTCAATGGATGAATTGAATTGAATGTTTTTGTTTGAGAATGGCCCGAAGCATCGATCAATTCATTTATCATCGAATGATGATAATGATTATGGTGATCACCAAAACCATTTTTTTTTGCCAAATGATGAACAGATGAGAATACAACAACAACAAAAACTTCACACACACACACACATAAACACGCAAACATGAATGAGAATTTAGAATTGATCACACACGCACATGATCAAATGCACAATGATGATGATGATGATGATGAAATCCATTCATCTATTTATCATACTTTTATGCATTCATTCATTGAAAATGCACAACAAAAAAATCCCTGAAAAAAACTGGCTTGATGGATTTAAATTTTTTTTTTTTTTTTTTCGTGAAAAATTTCCCTTTGGTACAGCCCCCATCACCAACAATATTTTTAAACTGATCCAGGACCAGCTCAACAAAGCCCTTGTGTGTGTGTGTGTGCGCGCGCTATGGATATTCATGTAGATTCATTCCACTAATTATGAATGAATGATTAGTTTGAAACATTGAAAACAGTTTTTTTCTCCCTGTGTTCGGTTGTTATATAAACTCATCGAAAATCATCTTGTTTCATTGAATTTTCAATGAATTTTGTTTCTATTTTTTTTTTTTTTTTCGGTGCATATAATTCAATATATTAATGTCGATGATTAAAGCTTGTTGTTGTTGTTGTTGATGATGGAAAGCGTGAAATGTTTGGAACCACCAAACACCATGATCATGTGTTATGTGTGTGTGTGTGTGTGTGTGTGTGTCAAAAACGTGTCAGTAGCAATGATCTAAACGGGTATTTGTGTGTCTATAATCTTCATCATTACAATTATTGAAAAAAAACTATTGAAAGAGTTTCACTGTGTTTTTTTTTTGAATGTATGTTCCAGTGAAACTTTTGATTCATTCCATTCATCCACTTACACATAAAACGAGAGGCAAGCAAGTTTGGCCCACCATAAAGAGTGAGTGAAACGTAGAGAAAGAGTGGTTGCAAACGTTAATTTAATTTTTGCATTTTAATTCCTAATGCAAATTATATTATTGGCGACGACGACGACGACGACGACGACAACGACAACGACAAAGGGGAATGATCATGATGTGGATTTTGATCCATTTATATGCATACACAGGGAAACTTTATATCGTTGGTCGTTTGGATAGATCACATTCAATTGTTGTTTTGGAATCAAAATGTGATGAACGGGAAAAAAAATTTGCGAAAGGGACCTTAAATTTTTTTTCGTTTTCGCTTATATTAGCTACATTAACGAAAAAAAAGACAGGATTCAGTTGAACCCAATGTTTTGTCAATAGTTAGACTAAATTTTATCCGTTATTGTCTGATATTGTTTTTTTCTGAAAACAGCTACTCTCTCTCTCTCTGAAGTTTCTAAAATTTTCAATGTGACCCTTGTATGCAATAATAAATCTCTTTTTGTTAAA